GAAAATAATTTCAATAAAAACAATAAGCTACATGCTGTTATAAGTGAATTTCTTTTTCTGCATGTGCGCTTGGTCTTGACGCCTTGTTGTAATTTTTTCATAAGTTTTCCATGAAAAATCCTGTATACCTTGTTAAAATCAAAGATTTCCACCGAAGTTTTTTTCGCTTTTATACTCGAAATCATATTTTGAAAGCCTGCAAAAGGTCTTCGTTATACTTTGTTTTCCTTGTTTAATTTGAAGAGTATCATGAAAATTTTGAGGTTTGTATTAAATGGCTCCTGTGTCAACAAGAAAAAGCTCAACTTTCAGTAGGATACTTTTTCAAAATACTATGATTTCATGGTGAAACATTTTTTTTTCAATCATCACATTGTATTCCAATTTTTCTCATTAGGTTTATGCTTTTATTGCTTTCCAAAATCATTAAAAACCACTTTGCTTTAAGAAACTACCCAAGTGCAGTAGGTGGTGGTAAAAAGCTAGGAGGAAAAGTACTTGTGGACAGATCGGAAAAAGCGTTTTTTCAGTAGCGGTGTTTCAACTGGCCCATGGTCGTAATTTATGCACTGCCTTGACGTATACTTAACAACCAATCTTTCACATATGCTTTGGTATTTGCACAATTAAAATCTTTCCAGCATATAAGGTAAGGAATCAATTGCTTTTTGTAATATACTGCTAGTAACAGTGTATCGTGGGAGGATGACTTTCTCTAGAGCTATGTAGAGCTAATTTGAGACTCACGAGAGTTTGGTATGACAAAAAATTTTCGTGAAGTGATGTTTGAAAAAGTGGGAAGCGGTGTACGTAAAGTTATTCGTTAAAAGATGCCCGCAAAAAATTGGAAGCGGAGGCGGGGTACAACACAAAAAGAGGTTAGTAATTAATATTCACGTTAACAATGTTTTTAGGAAATCCTTCAAACGTCGAATTGAATTCAAACGTCGAATTATATAACGACAAAACAAGCAAGCGAGAAGTCTCCCGTCTCTACATATTCATACTTGTTACTTTATTCAGATTAACAACATAGGTTTATAAAACAGAAGTCGCAAAGCACGACTAAAAAAATAGAACATAACATGAATGCCTGGTTGAGAAAGTAATCGTTGCGTTGGAAAAATTACCAGCTGAACCGAAGAAGTTTTCAGTAGTCAATACAAACAGTAGTCAATATCAAAAGATGTTTATCATTTTTTGACAGCACAATGCTTTTTTTATTGAATCAGTTTGTGACTGAAGATAATATTTTTGGGCTTACAAATTATAACAAGGATAGCGGATGCTATTCAATTAGCCCCAAATGTTCTAATGATTCATGAAAAAAACGGAACAAATTTTGTTCCTGTTTTTTTTAGAATATGTTTTTTGACCGTATGATTAGAGAACTAATCGAACGAGTGATTCAATTAGTTAGCTTATTTTTTTGAAAAATATTTCATTTTAGAAATTTTTATTGCCATGGAAGCGCTACAAGAAGCCTGTAAAACTAGTGATCTGGGTAAAAATAAGTATTTACATCTTAAAGGGTATTTTTGACACAGAAAAAACTTTAATAATGTCCCGATTGTAATAACTTTTTTGAAATTTTATTGGCCGCAAAAAGTCAGGACTCAAACTGGTTTTTATTGGTACATTTTGTGAAACTTTTTCGCCTAAAAGGAAAATTTTATTGAAAATTTTGCAACTTTGTTGTGTTTATCTCGACAAAGATTTTCTCTTAGGAAATTTAGCAATTAAAAACTACAAAAAAATTGCGGGCATCACTATGATGTATCACTTAAATTGTTTTGATGACTGTTTATGTTACCTGAAAATGAATGAAAAAAATATACCTGTTCGATTACTTTGTTTGCTCGAAGTTCAAAAATAAAATTTTCTCTCTCGTCTATGAAAAAAGTTTTAAATGACATTCGAAGCTCAATATTTTTCCAAAATTTATTAGAAAGCGTCAAGTGAAATTTTCAAACTAGTTTTATCTTTTTAAGTTAATTCAAGTTGAAATAGCTTGTACCACTAATTTTCTTACAACGAACGTTACACGATTGCTTTACTCAATCAAAAATAAACTAAACTTCAAAATTTTAAAGCTGAATTTTGCAACATTGCTGATTTTTTTCCGGAATTTTGTTTTAATGTTCAAATCAATATTGAAAAGTTTTTTAAAATTTTTATTTGTGGTCCCTCGAAGTGATTAAAAAAAACCAAAATACGGCCGAAGAAAAATTCATTTTCAGTGGTACCGTCAAAATTTTAGCAAGCTTTTTAACTGTTCTTTTGAGAATAACTGATCAATTGCCAGGTCAGCGCTGTTTTCAACATTTCGAAAAAACAAGCGCTTGTTTTTCAAAAAAAGGCTGGATAAGGTTGATTTAATTGCTTTGTGTTATAATCAGTGAGCCGCAATGTGTAAGCCTTTAGTTGTAAATTTATGAATTATAACGAGAACAAGTATAAACCTCGCTACATTGATCGTTCACTGGTTTGAAAACCGAGACAACTTACAAGTCTTATAGAAACACGCAAATTCGCAAACGTCGAAGTAAAAATTTGAGTCAAATTTAGGAAAACCTATGTCAGTTTATATTAGGATGCTTAATTAAAAACATTTGAAAAACTGCTAAATTGGGTGGAAGCTTTTGTCTTGTTTGTAACACTTTTATATCGCCTGTCTCAGATAAATTTCAAAACAAATTTCAAAACCAGGGAGTCCATAAGTTACCAAACCTAAAAGCGGTTGTCGAAATTGGGTTCGACCCTAACCGGTATAATTACGTTTTCTCCTCCATTCCTTCTTGTGGCAGGCTCAACTACATTACGCCTGACAAGAGGACGAAAGCGAAAATAAAAAGCTTGTTGAATCATAGAACTGATGGAAGCACTTGTAAGAAATACGTTCCTAGAAAAATTGCAGGCAATCTAAAATATCTTAGTGGATGCACAGCATTATCTCTGGGTCAGAATTGCACAAAATCATGTTTAATATTAAAAATCTAAGCAAACATTCGCCCGGATTGATACTTATTGACCAGTTTGTTAGTGATGTAGCTACCTATTATCAACTTTTGTATAACTTTTTTTTTAGCAAACTAGGGAAGTGAAAATTAAAATTTAAACCTGGATTAAAATACAGAAGCGGCAAGTCATGCTTGTCTGACATATTTTTTTTGAAATAGAATTCTTTTTTTCCAACACCATTTAGTGCTCTGTTAGTAGACAAGGAGAGTTTTTGATGTGTTTAATTTTTTGGAACCATGATCATATTTTGTTTTAGGGAATTTTTGAATGTCAGCTTCTATGATCAGAGTAGACTGAAATCTAGAGAGCAAGTTCAAACTTTAATTGGGCCGAAATTTGCACGTTAAGACTGTAACTTGAAAAACATTCAAAATGGTACTCGGAACTTTTGGCATAAATCTGGAATTATTAATACTACAAAAGTATGAATAAAGAACGACGTCATTGACCAGGGCACAAATATCTTGGTAATAATTTTTTGAAATTATTTAGTTCCGAAAAAAATTTAAGGAAAATTTAAAAATTATCCTTTCTTAGCCGTAAAGAATTGTGGGACGAGAGGGTTTTAAACAATATTTTTTTGAAAATTCACATTGTAGAAAGGAGTGTATACATGTTTTCAAGGCCATTAGTTTTCTGCATTGCATTAAAACGATAATAAATATCTATTAAAATACCTATTGTTGTGCAAAGCTATGATGTTTTGAACAACCTCCTTACTTTTTTATTCTAGTTTTTGTGTTTTGAGGCATCAAAAACTTGAACATTTTGAAAAGATTAGTTCCTCTCGCTTGAAAATTGTTTTGAGAAAGCTAAAACCAATTCTACCTGCGAATTATTGTTTGTTACTGCCCAAAGGCAGCGCCAAGATAAACGAACTAAGTAAAACAATCCGTATTTTACCTTGATTGGGTCTGTTTTGGTCAAGATAAACTAACTTGACTTTGAATCGTATAGCTAGTTCCCATGTTTTCGCAAGCGACTCTTTATCGGCAGTATTCATCACTGGAGTGGAATTTTTGGATTTGATACGAACAAATCCTCTTGTGTCCGATATATCGTTTCTCAGATCAACGGCACTGGGTTCATAGTTAAAAGTCGTGAGGTATTCGTAAATTTCGTCTGCAGTTATTCTTCCAGCGCGCAGTTGCTCTCCAAACTTTCGCGTTTTGGGTTCCAAAATTTCCAAAATTTCTCGCCAAACTTTATTCAAGTTTTTGAAAGTTTCCTGTATATCGTGGTCAATCTTTATCTTTTTGATGCAATCTTCAAACATTTTCAATTGCTCGCTCATTTGATACACTAATTTTACAAACTTTTCTTGATTAGGCTGCAGATCCTCCTCTGTGATTCCTTGGCAACCCTTCCTTTGACAGCTCAGGTCTACACAACAATCAAGTTTTGTTAATGTAGACAAAGCAAATTCTTGTATTAATAGCACAATGTATTGATATCGGTAAATATTTTGACCAATTTTAATCTAATAACTTTTTGCAGATTGAAAATGCATCATAATTAAGCTTCAAGAGCTACAACTGATAACTTAATTTTGAAAATCCCAACTAGTCATAACCTTAGAGGACAAACATTCAAACTCATTGCCATGTTTTCGAAATTTTTTTAAGAACTCAAATTAATTGGCCACAGACTCATCAAAAACGCTTTTCAGGCTCATAAAGAAGAGTGTGAAATTGCACAACATTTTTGTCACTACTAAAAAAAGGGTAAAAATACGCATTAAACCCAAGCATGTTTTTTAATGGCTTTATATCGAGACTTCAGAAGTTGTTTCACAAATACTTTGAGCGTTGATGTCTGAGAGTTTTGAAAAAAGATCCAAATTTATATATTGTGAGTGCTTTTTTCTCTAATTTATGTTAAAGAAAATACCAAAAAACATTGTGTTGTAAACAGGACAAAAATATCCAAGATAAACGAACTAAGTAAAACAATCCGTATTTTACCTTGATTGGGTCTGTTTTGGTCAAGATAAATTAACTTGACTTTGAATCGTATAGCTAGTTCCCATGTTTTCGCAAGCGACTCTTTATCGGCAGTATTCATCACTGGAGTGGAATTTTTGGATTTGATACGAACAAATCCTCTTGTGTCCGATATATCGTTTCTCAGATCAACGGCACTGGGTTCATAGTTAAAAGTCGTGAGGTATTCGTAAATTTCGTCTGCAGTTATTCTTCCAGCGCGCAGTTGCTCTCCAAATTTTCGCGTTTTGGGTTCCAAAATTTCCAAAATTTCTCGCCAAACTTTATTCAAGTTTTTGAAAGTTTCCTGTATATCGTGGTCAATCTTTATCTTTTTGATGCAATCTTCAAACATTTTCAATTGCTCGCTCATTTGATACACTAATTTTACAAACTTTTCTTGATTAGGCTGCAGATCCTCCTCTGTGATTCCTTGGCAACCCTTCCTTTGACAGCTCAGGTCTACACAACAATCAAGTTTTGTTAATGTAGACAAAGCAAATTCTTGTATTAATAGCACAATGTATTGATATCGGTAAATATTTTGACCAATTTTAATCTAATAACTTTTTGCAGATTGAAAATGCATCATAATTAAGCTTCAAGAGCTACAACTGATAACTTAATTTTGAAAATCCCAACTAGTCATAACCTTAGAGGACAAACATTCAAACTCATTGCCATGTTTTCGAAATTTTTTTAAGAACTCAAATTAATTGGCCACAGACTCATCAAAAACGCTTTTCAGGCTCATAAAGAAGAGTGTGAAATTGCACAACATTTTTGTCACTACTAAAAAAAGGGTAAAAATACGCATTAAACCCAAGCATGTTTTTTAATGGCTTTATATCGAGACTTCAGAAGTTGTTTCACAAATACTTTGAGCGTTGATGCCTGAGAGTTTTGAAAAAAGATCCAAATTTATATATTGTGAGTGCTTTTTTCTCTAATTTATGTTAAAGAAAATACCAAAAAACATTGTGTTGTAAACAGGACAAAAATATCGTGTTTTCAAGTGTTTTTAACGGACAAAAATTTTCTTAACTATCTCTCATTCCACAATTATTTGATTATTAATTTACTTATTTTTACTGATTTTGAAAAAATCGCAGAATTCTTAAGATATAGTTTTTTGAAATTGGACTGTTTTTTGTTCATGCATGCTTTCGATGTTTATTCAATTTCACTTGTTTCTCCCCGATTTGGTTATTTGTGGACTAAAAATAGTGAGAACAAAATTTGCTTGAAAATTTACAAGCTTTTTCATATGAAAATTATTTTGAAAAACTTCAAACCAAACTTAAACCTAAAAAATTTGTCAAATCATTTGGTTGAGAGTTTATTGAGAAAACCAAGCCAACTGATGAACGAAAAATTACAATTGAGCTGGGTTTTCTTCTAAATTTTCAAACAATCGATTTGACCCATTTTATGGGCGATATTTTGGTTTGAATATTAAAAAAATTTCTTCCTGAAAAATTGATAAGAAATTCAAATTATGCTTTGCCTCACCATTTTAGGCTACAAATAATTAAAAAAGAGCAGAATAAATTGGAACGTTTGGTTTTAGTTAATTTGTTGAGTTACTTTTTTTAGTTGCTTCGAATTTTTTTGTAGTTTATAGTTAAAAAATGGCAAACATCATTCAATGGCAAAAATCAATCCCACTTACTGGAAAAAACATCAAAATTTGCTTCCTACTGCAAAACATTTACCTCAAAAACCCAAACTTTTGTAAATTGAGAGATTTTCTTAAATGAAACATGTTTTGAAATTATCCTTATATTAAGTCTTATTTGGTTTCGATGGGACTGAAACAAAACTTTCTTTTAAAAACTCCATTCGAGACTTTCCAGTATATGCGCAATTGGAGACTTTCCGTTAAAAACACAGGAAATAAGATATTAGTTTTTTTCTCATTTTCAAGGATACTGAAACAAGAATTTTCAAATTATGCATAAATTGAGACTTTTCGGCATATGCACAAATTTATTTCAAATTGAATATAAAATTGCATGCAAAAAACTTGGCAAGGTTCGGAAAAATAGTGCATTTGTAATTTCGATTGCTAAAAGACCCATTTTTGTCGATCAAAAAAGAAAGAAACAACACATAAAATTGAATGATCACTATTTTCAATTACAGTTATAACATTTCAGCAATTGGGTATACCACACATTCAGTTTGAAGGTTACGAAAAACAATGAATGATTGGAACTCAAACTTTTGAAGGACAAAAGCGTCAAAATCAGACAAACCAAGTAGTTTCCTTATAAACCAAATTCTTCCATGGCTAGAAAAACATATAGACTCATTCAGTTTTAAACTACTTGATTACGTAAGATTGCGGCTTTAAATTCACAGATCACAGCTGTAACGAGCATTACAAATGATCAGGATTTTTCTTACTTTTCCAAATTCACATCAACGCGATTGCGGAAGCGCCCAAAAAATTTTTTTTCGATAGGATAAAGAGTCAAACCATATTATTAGTGCAATAACTAAACAATAACGCAATAAAAACATTGCAAAGTTTTCTTAATCTACGATTTGAGTATCTCGATTGGAGTATGTTTATTTCTTGTTCCTTTTTGCACCTTCCTCTGTATAACATGCCAATCGGTATGAGGAGTTTCTCAATTCACAATACTCGTTTGTTAAAAAACTGGCGAGCGGAATAATCCGACTATTACAAACTGATTTGGTGTTTAAACGTAACTTTATAAGACTTTTGCTACATCAATAAACCAATGCTTAAGTGAGTAGGGAACAAAAGGCAGGATCCCCGAGGTTTTCTCGCAGTCAAATAAAAATCCAATCTTTTTTTTATAACAAAAACTTCCTAAAAGTAGGTATTAAAACTAGTTTAGTGTTAACAAAAAAATTAATAAGTCAATTGTGTTTTTGACCTTCATTTTAATCTAAGTTATGTCATTTAAATAAGGGATACAGAAAATTTTGAAAAAATCAATACTCACTGTATTGGATACAACTGGCACTCGGAATGAAATTGTCAGGCAAGTAAGAGTCTTTTGGGGTATCTGCTGAAATACAATCGTGATTGAACTTAGAAATTGAACCTAATCATAAGTATCAATACACTACGAGGCCAAACTGTACACTGAATTTTGTGTCATTGTTGTTCCTGGATTCCAGGAACAAGTCTTTAAACATGTTAAAATTTTTTCGGAACGATCAAAGAAACGTAAGGAACAGTAGAAGAACGAAGGGAGCGTCCTTGTTGCGGAATTCTCGTACAATGCACAAAATGCACAGTTTGGTCCCGAAATGAAGTCTCCAACTGTTTTAAGTTCAGCTGAATTTCACGCCAAATATGTTAGTTCAGTTAATTTTATGATGTAATACAAAAAATAGTCAAAGGCAACAAAGATACTTTCGTGAATGGGCTGAAGCTTTACACAGTTTTTCTTCCATCTCTGTGCAAAAAAACTACGATTTAAATCGAAGTTAAATGTACTATATTTCGGTATTGTCGTTAACTGTCAAAAAAAGCCTACGATCACTGAAAAAAACGTTCTTGCTAAATTACACTTAGCACTCTGAATAATTAAATCAAACCAATTATAAAGCAAAATTGCTACAGTGAGTTTACTTTGTTTTAAAAAATTATGTTCGAAATTCTTCTTCTTCTAAAGTTCAAAAAAAAGAAATCTATAACTCTAAAGTTAAAAGAAATGCTCTGCAAATTCAAATGCTAAAACAAAAGTGGAGTTATTCATATCGAGCCAATACATTCAATGAGTTTTAGATTTTTTTTCATAAATCCAAAAACTTTCAATTGTAACAAAAATTATCAATCGCAAAGTCTGTTCTGCTAACTTAGACTAAACTAGATAGAAACCGATTGCTGTGGACATAAGGTTTGCGTGTCTCTGTTTGGGTAAAAGGATTCAACGATTCAAAACTTTTCGCTATTAATGTAAAGTTGGACATAAGAACGAAAATAGGCATGCACGTAACTTTTGCAAAAGCTTTTCACTATCAATCTTATTACAGCTAATAAGTAACAATTTTATAAAAGTTATGAAATCCTATTTGCCTAATTGCTATATCCTATTTGCCAAAAAAATCTCGGATTAGCTGAACCCCTCAAGTACTTGGAACTTTCAAACACATGGAAGAATCATGAAAAAAAACCATGTTTTTTTTTGAGAAAATGAAGTAAAATTTGTTCATTTTAGACTCAGTGTCTAGCCAAAGTTTTCTAGTTAACACTATCTTAAAAAAACTTTAACATGTTTTTGTCCAGCTAATGGTAAACTTCATTAAGAATCATTAAAAAAATTCACTGAAACTTCTTGAGCAAATGTCAAGCTTCAATTCCCACTCGGTTTTTGGTCATTTATATATCCAAAATCATACAAAAGTTACAGTTTCTGGGAAGTATTTCACGTTCATTATACTAATGTTGAGATCATTGATTTGAAGTAAAAGTTTTAGCGCTAAAAATATCTATTGATTGTTTAAAAAAGTATATTAGAATGTGATTGAAATTCAACCATTATCTCTCTTTTGCTTCTAAAACAGAATTTATTATGAGCCTTTTAGAAAAATCGTTGTCCCCTGCTGCCTGATTGATTCACTTTCTGGCCATAGATCCAACCTTAGATGAAAAATTAGTCAAATTTAGGAATTCATTTTAAAATTGTATCAATTGAACAAACAATTTGCCGGCAAAGGTAAACATATTACGACAATTGTCAAAATTTTCACTTGTGAATTGTGCAAGTTCAAACTCAGCATATAAGCTTTTCCTAGCTCGATAGCTACTGTAATTTTTCAGCGAAAACAAGTTTTAGGTGACTTTCGTCACAACAACCTTAAAATCATTTTTTATCCATTAATGTAGACAAAAAACTTTAAGTTTGAGAAGAAACTGGAGCTAATTGAAGCAGTGGAAATTGAATACATCTACCTAATCTTTGTTGTAGAAGGAGATTCGACGATTTATTATTAACTTAAAATCTTCTGAATTTTTTTACTGTTCAATTTTTTTGAGAGTTTCGTAAATGAATTATAACTAAAAAAGCGCAATGAAACGCAGACATAAACTTTTTTAAGTTTTAGTTTTACAAAAAAACGCTTTCTATTTTAACTCTAAATAGTAAACATGGTTATAAAGCATCAATTGAACAATTTGTAAACCTTAAACAAGTTTAATTAAGCAAGAAGTCTTCAGGTCCAACCTAATTTTCAGACTGAAGCAAAATTGAGCCAACCAGAAAAAAAACGCGTCCCATTTTAACCCTTTCATGTCAACTACGACATCATCAAAAGAAATCGAAAAACTTTAAATTTGATTTTGTTGAATTAAATTAAATTTTTGCAAGAAGACAAGAAAAACCATTAGTTTTTCCTAAAAGACCTCTGAGTTCTTCCTACAACAGGCGTTCATGGCTTTTCTTGTCAACAGTTTCATAGAAGTATACCTTGAGAGCAGGTGCACGCTTTCTGTCCTAACTATTGTTCTCCGAAAAAAAAACTTTTTGGTTTGAAATTTTAACTCTAAAAAGGTTATTTAGTCAAAAAAATGTATCAAGTAATCGATCATTTTCTATTCTTAGGTACACTCATTTCATATAAACTTTCATTAAAACATTTAAACTCTCATTTCTTCATATAATTCATTGATTGGTGGGAAGAAATTGTCCGTTCATTCAGTCTTTTATAGATTTAATATTTCTTTTATGCTTGATAATATCTTAAGCTACAGTTTATAAACAAAATTCAATCATTTTTGTTTGCTCAAGTACCCTAAACTTTGCAGAAGTTTACGCTGTAATGTTTCCCACTTGATTGAAATTAAGTTTTTTTTCTGTTCATTCTGCTATCATCCAATTGAATCTTTTTGAAAACAACTGTAGTTTTGAAATCCATCAATCAAAAATGAGCAATTTTTTAATGGAAATTTCAACAGTTTTGATATCAAGCAATCAGAATCGATCCTAATTTTATCATTTTTTCATCGAATGATAGAAACAAAAATTTCAATTGATATACTAATTTTGAGATCTTTCAAGTTTGATATTATTATAAGCTATAGACACTGAGTCTAAAATGAATAATTTTCACTTCAATTTCTCGAAAAATATGGTTACTTTAACTAATCTTCCAAGTATTTGAAAGTTTTAGCTTAGGTTCAGATAGTCTGAGCCTTGTTTTTGTTAATCAGAACTCTCCAATCAGTATATCATGTAATTTGTTTTTACAATATGCACGTAATTAAGCATTTATTTTTTACATTTACATAACAAACGATCGTTTAAAAAAACTAACAAAACTCGAGAATTCTGCATTTTTTTTGAAAAATTTTTTTTCCAAGAGATTTTTATACAAAAAAACGTACCACCTAAAAATTACTAACCGAATATTTGAAAACTATCCTAATACGTTGGGAATTTTTTTTCTAATCTTAATACATCGGATGCTTTTGCATAGAACTGCAAAATTTGCTGTATTGGTAAAAACGGCGCTAAAAAACTTACCATCGGAAACTTACCATCTAAGAAACCTCTAGCCTATCTTAATACCTTGGGAAATATTTTAGGATTTAAATTATTTATTAGATTATTTTTAAATTAGGATGCTGATCGAATACTCTGTAGCCTGTTTTATTGCATTCAGCATCCGCTCGCGTTGGTATGCCCCGACATACATTACTCTGATACCTATTCGATTGCTACGAAATAATTTTTGTTTAATCATTGGCTTTGACAGCTAAAACATGAAACACAGTTACCGCAAATTCGGTAAACTTTCAAAAAAGACTAGCATTTAAAAAAAGCCACAATTTCAATGCGTAAGAAATCCGGTATTTTTTTTCAGGCGTGTTATAATCAATCAAAATGGTGCTCCTTTATTGATGTAACCAATTGAGAGAAGCAAGTTTCAAGGTACCCATAGTTGATGAGATAGTTGTTCGTTTCTGGGTGATTGTTTTTTAAAATAACAATTATAGGGAGGATTTTTCTAATTATCAAATGCAACAAATAAAGAAGAAACTATCACACAAAAGTGGATAAATGGTTGATTTTTATCATTACATACATTTTTGTTTTAAAAAAAAGTTTTTAAAAAATATTCAGTGCTTGAAAATCGTTTGAGAGCGATCCATCTACATAAGTCAGGGATAAACAAATTATTTGGAACTAGTTTTCATAGAATAGAAGATGCTCTCATATTATTGTAATCAATTGACAGAACCAAATTATAATTTACTATATTAAACCAACGAGTGGTTTTGTTTGCAGTTCTTGGCTTCATCTACGAAGAATGTAAAAAGTTCTTGACAGTTTTTGCAAGTCTATCTGCAAATTCATATATTTTTCTCTTACCCTACCAAGGAACACATGACGAAAAAAAACCATCATACACAAAAAGGATGTAAAAGTTTAATATCTAAAGAAAGATCAGGAAAAATTTCGCTCAAATTTTGTTAAACAATAAAATTTGGTGCTAATTGGTGCTAAGCAAAAAAAATAATTTAGCGGATGCCAAATGACATTTGAGACTAGTTATTATAGACTGAAAACAGACCCGACCAAACAGTTTTTTGTTCACAGTATTTTTTGCTGTCTAAACATTTGCTGCAGATGTTTGGATTGCAGTTTTCAATCTCATAAAAAAATCCGTGTGCAATAAATGCGTTCGAACTCATTTCGAGAGCAAACGAAGTTATTCAAAAATTCAAAATGCTTTGGATATGAACAGAGACATTTATGTTAAAAAAACTAAAATAGAAGTTCAACCTTTTTAGAAGAGTTATGAACGATCAATTTCCAACTGCTTTTAATTAGAGCTGCAAAATACGGTTGTTTTTGAAAAAGGTGTCAACAAGAATTAAGTTTTTTTAAGTGTTGCTCAAACCAACGAACCACCCACCCAATTCATCCAACCTACCAACTTGTTTAATCAACGAATCACGAGACGTTAAATGCCTTATCAAATTTTCATTTCAAGGCACGCAATAAACTCCAGGTAGATACAATCAAGGCACGCAATAAACTCCAGGCTCTGATTACATAAGAACAAAGTGAGACGCCATTTTTTTACTGAATGGAATAGGTCTTAAACTTCTTTGAAACTGCTTTTTATTATGTTAAACAATGTTTATCCGTTCGTATTTAAGCAAAACGGATTTTGAGCATTTTGATTTTGTCTGTTGGAAAAAGTGAAACTGATTATTGCAACGTCGTCCGCCTTGATTGAACTCATGAATCGACAATTTAAAACCTAAATTTGATGAAAAATAGGACAGTACATAAGAACAAAGTGTCCTAGTTCTTACTGTCCTAGTTTTCAACAAAATTAGGTTATAAATTGTCGATTCATGATTTCAATCAAGGCGGACGACATTATAATAATCACTTTCACTTTTTCCAACAGAAAAAATCAAAATGCTCAAATCGATTTTGCTTAACGGATAAACATTGTTTAAATTAATAAAAAGTAGTTTCAAAGAAGTTTAAGACCTATTCCATTCAGTAAAAAAAATGGCGTAATTCAGTAAAAAAAATGTAATCAGAATGATAAATTGTCATTAATTTTCCCATTGTATCAAACTCATCAGGGTCGACTATAATTATTAGTTGCACTTCACATCTGTCTTTCAACTGTCTTTTTTGAAGCCAAAAACTATTTTATATTAGTAGTCATTCCAAAAAATATATGACATGCTGAATTTTTTAAAACTTTCCGTTACCGCGGACTTTTTATAACTTTCCGAAATAGTACCGCTCCCGCAATTACTTCAAATTTTCAGCAAAGTAGAACAAGCTCAAACAACATTTTGTTACTCTTTAAAAGTTTCCAGTTTCATAAAACCTAGCTTTTTTGATATGCACTTTACACAAATATACGGTTGCTCTTCTCAAATTTACTTGGTAATATCTACTTACTGGGTCTCGTAAAAGACATCTCGGAAATAATTTCTGCAGGTCAGCCTAAACGGAACAATATAAGCAAATAAAGTGAGTCAGTCGAGTCAACGTCCAGTAGAAAATGGTTATAGACTTATTGGTAACTTTTTTTCAAAAGAATACATTTATACATCTATGCGGTTTATCTTGCACGGTTTTCTGGCGTTTTATTCTACAATAAAGCAATTAAATATCTAGAAAAATACGTCTGTTGATAACTCGAAAACAATATAACAACACAACAGTCGCTCAAATCGAAACCTTGATTTCAAGTGAATTCTTGTTCAAACCTGTTCTGTGCAAATTACGTTATGACTGTTTTGATTTTTTGCTTCAACGTCTATATTTGGAATCTACAGTGCTTGTTCAGACCAAGTCTCTCCAAACAACATTATGGTAAGTTTTGCTTTTTTGCTTCAATTTCTATATTTTAAATCTACAGTCATTTTTCAGACCAAGTCTCTCCAAACTACATTATGGTAAGTATCTGAGAATTTTTGAAACAAGAAACCATTTCAAGTACAGCAGAAAACTTTTCCTCGCCATTTTTTCTAAATCTGTGATTTACATTATAAAAAAAACTGCCTGAAATAGCCCAAAAAAATGAGTAAAAATCGGTAGTTGCTATGTAACTAGTCAAGTTTTTTAAATAGAAGTTGATGAGAAACTTAGATTACTTAACACGCTCTTACTTCAACACAACCCTCTAAACACTTCAAGATAAAATAAATGTTATGTGATTGAGATTACCATCTTTGTCAAAAAAAAATTTCCAAAAAAAAACAATATTTTCCCAAAAATTTGACAATCTATCAATCTAACTAAGATTAGTATCGTATCACGATTTCAGAATCCTAGTTTCACGGAGAATGATGCGTTTTCATTAAATTCAAAAAGATTTTCACCGGAATAAAATTACTGCCTCAACCAAATTGAAATGTTGCCAAAACGTATCTGAAAAGTTTTATTTTTTCTTAAATTTCACTAAGGCAACAAGGTTGAATCAGTTAAAACTAATCTGGCTCCAAAATGTCTAATGTACAACCGCTCTTTAAAGAAATGAAAACTTATACGCATCTGTGAATGCTGTTATCTGACATATAAAAGTATTGTATTATAGACTACAATTTTCCCAGGAGCAACTTCTGCTTCAAGAACTACTTGAACCAAACTAGAAAGAGAGTTCAAAGTTATCAGGAATTCAAACTGCTGTGTCGTTCATGTTCTTTTAGCAGTATTGTTCTTATGTTCTTTTAGCAAACCTGAAATTACTATTTAAGGAAAACTAACTTAGTCACAATAGTTGTTGATCACAATTAAGTACTACTCAATTTTTTTATTTGAAAAAAAATGTTGACTCTGTTTCAGCGGTTTGTATACTGGCCAGAAAAGTACCACAACTAAAAAACCTACAACTAAGTTAGATGAAACAAGTTACAAATTTTTTGCCCTTGGCAGGCATTACCGACTGACATACTTTGTGCCAGTGATTTGAAGTTACTACTTTTTTTTAAATATTATAACGTTTTTTCTACCCTCTACCCCTTGCTTCATTTTTGAATGTTTATAATTGCAAAAAATATTTTCCAAATTCAATTTGGCTGATAAATTATAAATCATTTCAGTTTATGCTGAAAACTCTGTTGTTTTGAGCAGCAAAACGCAAACATTTCGAAATCAAAGTTTTAAGAGGAAAACAAATGATCAGGTCTTAAATAAGTTTTCGGTTGTTGTACTTTTTTGTCTAGTATGAAATATGATACCTTTGCGGAGAGAGAACTTATGAGAAACATCTGCATCTTGATATCACTTGATTGTCATCATGCCGTCAATCCTGGTCTCAAAAAATCCTCATTGGACCGCTCGCTGATTTCTAATAGCGTGACTGCTTTCAAGAAACTGACACTGGATATAGCAGCGTCTTCCAATCCTGCCCGGAAAGAACTAACACAGTCTATTCTGGAAGAGATGCAAGATCTGATTGGTTTTCTACAATTCAAAAATCGAGCTGTTGAAATTCTCTTCACGGCGGATGAAATTGATTCTCTCATCACGACGGCAATCTACATCCTTGAGCTTTTGAAAAAAACAGATCACAGTAAGAGAGTGATTTATGCAATCTGTTTTTGTTTCTGATCGTATTACCGAGCTCACTAAGAAAACAAATAGCAACTTTTTTCACGTTCTCGTGGTTTTCGTCAAATTCATAAAGAAAATCGGGTTTAATTTTTGTCTATTGGTGAAAAAAAGTTTTTTAAAAGTTTCCTTTCGGTATATTGATTCAAGGAAACTATTCATTTTAAATATATCAAAAAATTTCAAAGGAACAAAACGCACTACGTGGTTGTTTTTAACGATCGAATAATTTTTGATCTCAACATCCCGCTCACAAAAATGCTATAGTCAAGGTCCAAATTGCATGCGATTAAAATCAAGAAGAAAATGTACCAAGTTTTTGTTCATTCTTGTGGTTTCTCATAAACTATTTAATAAATTGGAAGAAAATTTTGACAAATGGCCAAAAGAACGTTTCTCAAGCTACTCTCTTCCTTATTCTCATTCGGAGAATTCATTCTTTTCAAATTAAATGAATCTTTGAGAGTAACAAAACTTAGTGAAGGAGTGTCTTTAGCAATCTTTTTTACGTTTCATTGCTTTGTCTATTTCAAGAATAAGTGCTACAATAATTGTTCTGGAATTATTGCAAACTTTAGTTTTCAACTCAAAATTTACTGTTTTTTTTCGTTTATCAGTGTATAAAAAAGATATTGAGTGAAACTTTCACACATAGCTGATAAAAATAGTTTAAAGGATCTGATCGGACGAATCCTGATAATACTTTTTTGCAGCAAAAAAGTTTCGTTTCAGAGCTCCACTTTTGTAAAAATAAATACGCTCGCAAACATCACTCAGAAATAAAGTGTAAATCTCAGAGCTATAGTAAGCCTATGAACTTGGCTTGAACGTCAAATTACATTAATTGAAAAAAGTATTAAGTATTGTCAAAAATGTAAACTACTCTTTTTGACATTTATGAAGAATTTATGTGCTATCATTAATGCCAGACAACCCGTAATTTTCAGCAAACCTTATTTTGATATTTACTTTATGCATCACTAGCGCTATTTGATTCGTATGGCATTAGCCACTAAGGTTTGAAAACTTCCAACCTTTTGAAATTTAGTGTTTGAAACCGGGCTTGGTGACTTTTTTATTTCCTCAGCACTGTTTTTGTTATAAGGACCAACCAAAGTCATAAGGTTTTCACATAATAGTTTTTAGTCTATAAACTCAAATTACATCGCTTATTTTTTTGTTGTTGTTTCAATGACAAAGCTCCTCTGAGACTAGTTATCGTTGTTTTTGATTAAAGATGACTCCAACAGTAAACTTAAAAAAATTTCTTTCAGCAACATCCTCATACCAAGATTTTTTTGCCATGATAAACAACAAAAAATGCAAAAAAAAATACTTTTGCTCATAATTGTGCTTGTAAATAAGTAGTTTCTTTGCATGCGAAAAGCTGATTCAGATTTACTTTGTAACAGGGTTGCAGAAAGTTCTCAAGCGGAAAATGTTTTTTTTCCTGTAACAACACTTCGATTTAGGGCTTTATCGGCCTAAATTTTTTTTAGCTCAGAGTACTTATACTTTTTTCCCGATTATCCTCCTACTGTTTTAACTATCATCCTATCACAAAGTTTTTTTTGTTTTTGTTTTCAAATGCCTTAACAAAAATTCGCACTCACAATTTTAACAACGCTGCTCATGCAAAAAAACCCAAGCGCAAGTATATCCGCAGTCTCGAAGTGTTAACAAATAAGGTTTCATCTCGATACCCAACTAGCCTCTCAATAATCAAAGATGGAAAAATTCGAAGGAAAAAAACAATTTCCTTAGTTTTACAGCATACGAGGTTGTTGTTTATTTTCTATATTGTTTAACAATTAGATAACTTCAACCAAACGATTTTACAATAAGACCTTTAAAAAAGAAAACTAAAACATATGCCTAGCTAGGAGTAAAAATTAGGTAACTTTTAGAATCATCGGGATCGAAGCTGTTCGGGATTCGCACGAAATTAAAAGGAATGGGGAAAATTCTAGGTTATTCGAATCTAGACACGTCCAAGAATCAGGATGAAACTTGCTTTGAAAAGAAGTCTTATGATACCGACTCGTTCGATCGTCTCAGAAAGCGTTATCTTGATAATGCGAATCAAAAAGACGCAAGTGGTAAGGATTTCGAAGCGAATCAGCTGATAATAAATCAGTTTGAAGATCAACACAATAATTCTGCATCGGAAATGCCGACAACAAGCATCATGCCCATGGAATTTGGTTACGATATAGCGTTAAGCTGAGAACTGAACAAAAAAACGCTTTTCTAACATAACTACTCATTTACTATTTTAGAGTAACAAAAAGTACATCAATTTATGTCATTCGAATTTAATCTACGAAAAATACAATTGATGAGATTGAGTTGATTTATTGAAAGTTGACACAAAAATATTTACAAAAAACTTGCTCTCGATCGGGTTAACATCTTACAATAATTGCTCAAAGAAGCCAAATTGGAAAGAACGAAATTATCTTGAAAAAATTGGAAGCAAAGTATTCAGGGTGAAAACTAAAAGACAACAGAACAATATATCATATGGAAAGTAAACCTAAATAATGACTACTCGTCTCTAACTTTTAAAAAAACTTCATGAAAAAC